GATCCTGACAGGACAGCCGCATGCCGGTGTTAATCTCGAATACGAGCTGGCCTCTGTGTTCACACATCTGGCAGGAGTGCATATCGTCGTCGCGACACCTCAAAGCGAAAGGCTCGTGCGCCATGCGCGAGATATCTGTCTGCGTTCAAAGGACTCTCTTAGACTGTTGTTGAGGACATGGATACAGGACTACTGCGAGCTGCGGGGTGGTGTTTGAACCAATCCGAGCCCCTTGGCAAAGTGCTGGCGCTGAGTGCAGCCATTCGCCCAGCTGATCTTGCGGACTGTGAGGATGCAGACATGAAGACATGTGTCGAGACATGCGCAGACCGAGCTTTAAATCTCTTCTTCGCCCTCAGCTGAGGCTCGGCGTCCCAGATTTTCTCCACCAGCTCCTTGAAGTTGACACATGTTCAATTCAAAGCAAACAGCTCTCGGACATCGTTGGCACCTTCTGCCTTCGGGCTCTTGTTGCTAGGGGGCTTTGGCTTGGAATCGGCGATGCCAGAGCAACCAACGGTAACCAGCCCCTTTGAAGAGAGGCACGAATTGCTGGTTTCCAGTAGGGTAAAGTAGGGTAAGGCGCAGCTTCAACACACTGGAGGACCTCAACGGAAAGCCGGCATTTGCATCGTTTCTTGCTCTTCTCGCGTAGTTGGTATACGTGCCCCGATACACCGAGAACTCACCGATACACCATCGGCGTTTCGTGCTTCCCACTACCTTTCAGAATTCGAGGCATTTCACGGCGCATCACGGCGCCAGGCTGCAGGGCCCCCCTCCCGTTCTCCCCCTTTCTCAATTTCAAGTTTCCTGCAGGCTTTCGTCTGGGGGTCTTTCAAGTTGCGTTGCAAATGTCTGCGAGCCTTCGCCCCAAATCACCTCTTCTTCGTTGTTTCTTCGTGGCCGGTCTTCTTGTGCAGGCTCCTAGCTTGTCGATTCGCTTGGTCAAGAAACGCTGCACGTATCTGCGCGCCAAGCTGCGAAAACGAACGCTACGTGCTTTGAGCAAAAGATCGCGAGCAGAAGCTTGCCTCAATGTAGTGTCCCTGGACTCGTGGTTCAACTGAACAAGTCAGGCTGAAATTGTTAGGAAACGAGCCCCCTCAAGAAAGCTATAGTAAAGCCGTTTTGGGGACACAAACGCTGCTACTGGGCTTGAAAGGGGCTCATGGTGCGGCCTTGTTGCAGAGCAGAGTTCGAACGACGAGGCAGCACCAACAATAGCACTACGGCAGCAGACAAATTTAAGAGTCTCTGGATCATGCCGCCGATGGCGGACTGCTTTGTCGGTCCCTCCGTCACGGTTGAAGTGGGCATATGACATATGGTTTCGGAAGAGGGTGCGCTTAATCCTGAACATTGAAAAGGCGTGCCGGATCCAGCAAAGGGACGTTTGGGCTTGAGATGCACGTTCCCAGAATTGGCGATGCCGGTCTGGGGCTTGTACGACATGTTTCCTCGTCGTTTCATATCGTTTCGGGCCACACATGCTAGTCCTTTGGTATCTCTTGACGCTGAGCGCTGCGTGGGCTTCCTCCAACACGCCTGGCAATCTCAGGTTCAATGGGAAATCATTTGTTATTGCAGACAGTGGCCGCGCGGTTGCACTGGGGTTTTGAGTTGCAGCTCTCTGCATTTGGGTTTTTCCATTCCTAGAGTTTTCTTCACTTCCGGGCTTCGGGATGCCTCGAAGGTCATGCTAGGAACACGCCGCATTTGGTGGGTGGAAGCTACTGGCAGCTACTAGAAAGCCTCGCAGGCAGCTTCTTTCACGAGCTGCAAGTATCTGCAAGCTAATGCAAGCTAGGGGCTCCGGTTGCTGAACGCCCCAGTAGCGCTCATTTGTGAGACCTGTTCGGATCCTTCTTTGAAGTTAGTCTTGAACCGGTTCGAACGGATGACACCTCATACTGGATGCTTGACGCAAGGCGTCTCGCGTAGGCAAAGGGCGTTTCATCAAGGCGTCGCATTGCAATTCATTCTCTAGTATGGCAGAGTTCTCTTTGTGACATGCAGGCGTCTCGCGAGGGCGTCCCCAGGCAGTTTTCTGTTCTGGCACCTTCCTTCTCCAGGTTATCTTTGGGGTCTCGCGTGGGCGTCACAAGGCAGTTCTCTCCAGTTTCTGACGGGTGTCTCACTGCAGCCCTAAAATCCGAAGCCCTCCAGCATACGAAAGCCCTGACACTGAACCCCACACTTCCTAATTCCGTGCATGGTTTCCGGGGTTATGTAATGCCAGTAGCATTGAAGATGGCTCCATAGAGCCATAGATCTCTCCATGGCCATGCCATGGAATGCCCCGTTATTGTTCAACGCTTGTGCGCAATTTTCTTTGCGTCGAAGGCTATGTTGTCAAGGATCCACAAGGTGAGTGGTTGGAAGTCGGCCGAGCCCTGAGCCATGCACTTGACAGCTGAAAGAGTTGAAGTGAAGTCGCGAAGCTCGAATGTTCGAAGTTCGCGCTGCAGCGCTAGTCTTGTAAGTATGTTGCCAATGTTTTCTGAAGGCTGCTTCAGTCCGAAGAACACGTAAAGATCCTGGACTCAGGATTCGATGTTCGCAAGTTCCCTTTCCTCTTCGTGGATGTCCTTTACAACTTCCGGGACTTCATTCCATTGGCCGCTGACTTATGTTGCATGAGTGCCTGCGTTACATGTGCAAGTACTAAACTTCGGCCCAGGCGAAGTGTCATTTTGGCTTCACCGTTCAGGCAAATTTGGGTGTGTGGACAGGGATGGACGGGGTTGCGCTGCTGCTTTTATAGCCAGATAGAGACTCAAGTAACTGAAGCGATATGAAGTGATGAAAGTAAAATCTCTGAGAGAGAAGAGTGCGCGTCATCCTCAGAGAGCACTTGGGGCTTTGGCTCGACTTGGCTACAGACATGGCCCGGCAGGGCCCAGGCCTGGTGCCGCTCTCTTTGCGAAGTCCCTCAATTAAGAGCAAAACAAGGCTTTTTCTGATATTGCTCTTCGATGTTTTTCGCTCCCAATTCGAAGGTTCAGAAAGACACGTAGCGCTTCGTTGATTCTATCATATGAGGGTTGAAAATGTTGGGCATGGTATTGAGGGTTAGGGGTGGCTGTAGGGTATTGAGGCTTCAGGGCATTTAGGGTTTGAGGGCACTGGTCATTGAGGCACTTTTAGGGTGGTGAGGGTTTAGGGCAAAGTTTAGGGTCTTCAGGGTTTTAAGGTATTCGTTGTTTTTGAGCATTTCGAAATTTTGGTTTTAGGGTATTGAAGGTTTAGCAATTTAGAGTACCCTTCGGATTTGGGCTAGCTTCCGTTGGCCTCGGCTTGCACGTCAAGTGACATGAACAACTGCCTTGCAAGATGCAACTGCCTTCTAATTGGCTAGCGTCGGAGCCATGTCAATATTGCAAAACCCATGTCTGAGAAAAGTTCAGTCATTGATTGCAACGAAGGTCCGATTGTGGAAGAAGCGAGCCCCGCCCCCCCATGCTGCTGATGATGGCTGATGATATCTAGTGAGACTGCACATCTTTTTGTTGGAGATGGATGGATGTGCATGGTTTGACAGGAGACTGCATGTACTCAGTCCTGTGGCTGCCCACAGGTTGACAGCGTCCGGGCTCCTTCGACCCCTCCCATTACATCGTTCAGATTTTGGCATGTGGAGAAAGCTCATCAAACATTGGCCAAAAGACAAGTTTTTTGAGCCCCTTCTCGTTCCCGGGCTGAAGGTCCATTCTCACGCCCGCTCATTGTTCCAATGGGAAGATGCGTGGAACGTCAGTGGCAAACCTAAACTCAGGTAGAGCCGGAGTGGGGGGGGCAAACTCTGATTTGGAAGGACTGGAAAGTTGCAAACTATGAGCCAAAACTCGAAACCTTACCCCCCCGCCCAAACAAGAAGGTAGGTCCGTAGTAGCAACTGTTGGACTCAAGCCTGTCCGGGACCACCGTCCAGAGCCTGACCCGCTAAAGACGGTACCAAGGGCTCGTGACGAAACAAGCATCGGCACAACAAATCAGCACCCGTTGTGTTTGGTTCCGCTCTGTGGAGAAGCCCTACCAAGTGCGTCGGTGGACGAGCTCTACTAACAATATTCTACAGGTTGAGTATACATGATCAAGAACGATGCATCGTGGCACGTATGTGCAGCTAGTGGCTTGGCATGCGTGCAGGCCGTGGATGATGAGGACCTGCCAGAGGGCATCATCTGTGTCTCGGCCGTTCTCGGGCCTTAGCAAGGGAGCTGAGTAAACTAGGGGCTACACTGCGGCTACGTGTTGCAGCCATAGGTCTGAGGAGCTGCTTTCCAGTCTTTGCAGCCTTAGGTCTAGTTTGCAGTGGTTTATACTGGCAGAGCCTCCAGAAGCCTCTTTCAAGCATGGATGGGGGCCACAAGCCAGTTGTTTGCAATGTTTTGCAAGGGCCGGGGTTACCCATTCAAGTTATTTCCAGGGCGGCCCACTCCAAGAAGCAAAGAGGCCGCATTGCTGATTCTGTAAGGTGATGGTTGCAGTGTTAGCAGTGCTTCTGGGATGCTGAGACAGGCAGCAGCGCGTGCAGCCATCAGAACTTAGGTGACGTCTACATGTCCGGAATCAGCATCACTGATGATCCGAGAGTGATCGACCCTCCTGGGCCAGAGTTCGTTCTGTCATAGGTCGTATTCTCTGGGTACGATGCTACAATCTGGCATGCGCTGCACCAAATGGTCGTTGTGGCTGGCCAAATGCAACCCTGGAAGCATGGCATTCCATGCTGGAGTGACTTCCTAAAGGTCCGAAGATCTTCGCTACCAATGCAAGGCTTTGTAAGGACTGAACTTCGGTACGGTGGAAAAAGAGATTGAGCTTGCCGTAAGACTGCCTGTTTGGCTGCTAGGTCGCTAGGCATTTTTCTTGATCTGAAACTCTTGACAGCAAAGGTAAAGTCTCGTGGTATGCACATTCCTGACAGTACTTTACATGGATTGTCCGCAACATGTTCTCGATCTGTTTCGTGGACCTTTGGACGATCTGTCGAGGCCGGGCGAACGGGGCGCCTACCGCACCCGCGTGGAAGAGCTGTGCTGGTGGCCCACGGTCCCCCAGCTTTGAGCCATAAGAAGCTGTGAGCATTGTGAGCTTGAGAGTCGGGTCGGAGTCTCAAGGGTGCCTGGCAATGTTGAGACACGGCTACTCAAAAACCCGATAAGAGAACATAGGGGAATGCCCTGGAATCATCTGGAATCATCTGGGATCATCTGGGGTCATCTGGGAGCATCTGGGAGCATCTGGGATCATCTGGGATGTGGGTTTCGCGCCAGGTCGTGAGTTGATGAAAGTGACGAGGGGTTTCCTCACAGAGACGGGCATCCGGAAGTGGGAACCTCTGGCCGTGCCCCGAGAAGACTGTCAGCGTCGCATGCGTTTTGAAAAGTGCAAGATGTGGTCGGTCAAGACTCCGAGATTCTCTGATCTCCACGGGCACAGGAGTTCTCCAAATCTGCAGCAACTTGCAGTTTGCATCATGCTCTAGCTTGCCAAAAGCGTGCAGCTTTGCTTGTGACCAGAATGTTTTTCTCACCATGACCGAGCAGATGACTTGTAGTTCATGAAGCAGCTGCGACTCTTGAGCAACTAGCCGCAGAGGAGACCCACGTTCCCCCAGATCTTGCATCAGTCCCAAGCCCCCAGCCCCTCTGCCAAATGCTTCGCGAAACCCAAGCCAAGCCGCTGAGCACCTCAAATGGTAGCTGGCGAAGATGCGCAAAATGTATATGCAACATACGAAGTAAGTGGGGTGCCGATGAACACTTGGCTACGCCAGGGCTGGGGCAGCCCATCTCTGCAGCAGCCTCAGCATCGAGCATTTGGCACTCACTGTCTGTGGTCTGCGACAGGCGTCGGCAGCAGCAAGTAACAGCGAGTAACAGTACGGTGCAGTACTATACCATACCAGCAGCGCAGGGCAACAGTTTCGGAGGCAGAAGCCGGAGGGCTGAATCAGGCCCGCTTGAAGAAAAAGCATGACACTCTAAAACCTGAAGCCTTGAGTGCCTGAGTTGCACAGTTTCACAGGGGAGGTATTACTTCAAGAGATCTAGGCTCTGGAGAGGAGGTTCCTACACATGGTCAGATCGGAAGCAGTGTGCTGCGAGTTTACAACGCGCCTTAAAATTGGAATTCCAGGACGAGAGCCAAGCAGCAGGTCTCAGGCTAGCACTCAGAGCTGCAAGCCTCAGGTTTTTGGTAGAGCTTAGGAGCTAGGCTTGACAAAGATTGACCAAGCTGCATTAAGAGGGGCTCGTGGTTTCTTGAATGCTAGGGGGCTTTGAGGCTGCATTTCTGGGCGGGGAGCTCCCCAAAATGGGCTGGACATAGCTGGACAAGAAGCCTTTACAAATAAGACTTCATTTTTCAGATGCTTGGATTAGTTGTGGTCGTCATGTTTGAATCTGCTAGGCAGTGCCCGCCTGCACATGCAGAGGTCAGATATGGCAAGCATGGCAGACCCTGGAAGCAGGCGAGCCACTAAGATGGGCGCGAATGAGGCTTAATGAAGCAGCTTAGCATGCTTTGTCAGGCTCCAACGATTCACGTCTCTTGCCTGCGGTGTTTTCCTGACTGTAACAAGCCAACATGTTCACGTTGCACGATGCGACTGCTCTTTTGCAGAAGCAGCCCAAGCTGCCACGTCAGAAGGTATGGTGTGCCATATGGGCCATATGTGCCATGATGCTAGGAACGTGAAAACGTGGGTGGACGACCTCTACTCTGTGGAGGCCGCAGATACTGGAGTCCGTACTCCGTGCCGCTCTAACATTTGTGGGTCGATCGTGGCTTCAGCTCGGCTACGTTTTGCTGGTCCTTGCAATCGTACCGTTGTACTTGCAGTGCGTACGGAAGGTACGATCTGATTTGGGTTGAGCTTTTGGCCAAGATGCTTGGTCAATTTTAGGTTCAAGGATGCGAATTCTGCAAACTTCTCTTTGTGCAGGAGAAGAAAGCACAAAGAAGTGAGGCCTGCCCGCCAGCACTGCAAATGATGCTGACAAGCCTGAGTTCTGGTGCAACATTGCCTAACATCTCCTAACTAAGCGCAGGAGGCTCAAACCTACACCCTGTGGTCACCAATTGCACCAGTCCCCAAGCCGCAGGAAAGTAGAGAAGCACAAACCTCAACTCTGAAGCAGGCAAGAAGGGAGACAAGCAGCAAGATTCTAAGGGGCTCTTCCATGTATCCGGCTCTGGCTCCGAAGGGCATGCTGCGTGCCGTAAGGGCGACAAGAGGGTAAACAAGAGAGGACAAGTTGATTCGAGAGGGGAAACAAGAAGGGGGCACGTCAACCGATTCGACAAGGAAAGACAAGGGAGAGGGTCGCATCCATTTTTCATTTCAAGGGGGACGAGCAGACAAGAGCATGACAAAACGGGGGGCCGTGTACAGTGATCTGGTTCTGCGTCTAGAGGGAGACACGATGGCAGACAGAAGGCAAGCGAAAAACAAGGTGCGCGTGTGAAACGGAAGAAAGGATGGTGACAACCTAGCGGGGGGATGTACGACAATGGCTCTTCTTAAAGTATGTTTTGAACCCGTCCACCGGCAGTGACTACTTAGTCTCTATAGACTCGTCTCGATGCGAGGTCACGGGACCGAAGCCCAAAATGCATGTGTTTGGATGTGTTTGGGGGGGCTGGGCGACCTTCCGTTGCCAAGTGTTTTATGATGGTGGATGGAAGGCTCCCCCGCATACGATCACACTCTTCAACATGCAACAGCATCTCGAACACTCCAGCGTTCTCTAGCTCAGCCCAAAGCATTTGCGTGCGAAGTTCATGTCTGGCAAGTTTTCTGTTACGATCTGTTATGTATAAGTGTGAGGCCTGGGAGGTCAAGGTGCTGGCTGTTTCTTTTGCATGTCTTGGTTCTTTGGGAATCGAAGGCCGCAGCACGTCTGGATGCTGCACTTGGCGGGCCAGTGCGGCGTCTGCGAAAACGGACTTAGCAAAAAAAGGCGCTGCAGCCCCGTGGTTAGGCGCGGCCATGCTAAGCAAATCAGCGCAGCATCATGCGACACTATGGATACTAACTAGAGCGGATTCTAAGAGCAATGTGGGGGCCGCTTAAGCTTTTTGAATGCTACTGGTGAACTCCTTGCCTTCCAAGTCTTTCGTCTTCAAAGACATGTTCGGCCACAAGCACCCTTGCCCGGCAGCACCCCGGCTCAGCATGGCATAGCATGGCCATAGCTTCTTCATCCTTTCTCACAGCGCAATGTCGCTGGAAACCCAAATCGAGAAGGTGGAGAATGCGGTGGCAGCAGGAATGCATGAGGTATACTCGGGACTGAATCAGCCCGACTACGATGTCCCGCCACAACTCGGTGGTGATTCACCTCAGCAGATCAACTGGCTTGCGGTCCTCATACTTGTGTCAGTTTGCCTCTCACTTGTAGTTGGATGGGCTCTGGATAGCAGGTGCCGAGGAGCTCTCATGGAAGGCCGGCCCCACTTCTGGGCAATACTGTTGCTGTGTACAAGCTACTTGCTTTTGATTCCCGGCTTAATCAATCCAGTTTTCAGCTTCAGCATCGTGATCAACATCATTGGGCACCGCAAAAACGTTGAACCAGAAGCTGGACACCCAGTCTGTACAGAGACTACGACAGGCTTGGCACATCTGCTCTGGAAGACAGGTTCCAGGATTGGTGCATGTTTGGTAATTTTGTTCTCCATAGTCATCCCTGCCTTCGAGCTGATTATGCTCGTACTGGGAGAGGTGTTTCGTTTCGCATCTGCAAGATGTGCCGAAGTCTTTCGATGGGTCATCCTGTGGGTGCAGCATCGATCGAAGTGGGCGTCCCCAGACATGTTCGCCTACGTCCTGCTCGTTGACTTGGTCCGCACTCTCGAGCAAGAGCCGCTCATCCTCTCCAGGGCAAGGCAAAGCAAGAGCATTGGCAAATACTCATTCTCGGGCTATTCGCGCAATCGCATTCGATCTGCTAGCAGGTGTGTAAACGTTCTGGTGTGTTATTTGCCTTACCTGCCGCGCAGGCTGGAGATCGGCTTCTCGTGCTTTAGCACCTTCGTGGTGACGGCAACTATCTCATCTTTGGGCGTGCCCCTGCCGGAGGCGCTGGGCTAGTTGATATTACATAGATTTACATAGTCACTAGATCAGCAGTACGCTGGTACATGTGATGCAGCACAGCAGCGCAGTAGTACCCTGCAAGCCAAGACCAAAATCTGCATTGCTTTGGGAGGTAAGATCGCGGGAAGCGGCTCCGCGTGCACCTATGGCTTTACGATGCTTCGGCGAATCTGGACTTGCGATCGTTGCAAGTTTGCCCATCAGCCTGTCAACATCCATACGATTGTATTTTTGGATTGCTTTGAGCCTCTTTTTAGGTTTGCTAGTTTCACGAGAGCGCTTCGACGGTCTTGGCTATGAGGTGTACTTTAGCCTTTTGAATCGTAGCAGGACATTTTAGCCCACATGCAAGTCCCGAATGATCCCGCTTCGGCAATTGCTCTTCAGGCTGGCTTTGGGTTTTGTTCCACTGTTTCTAGCTGGACTTCGTGCTCCATGTATGTCTTTCCACATCGAAACGAAGCAGCTCTTTCCGCCACTTGGTCCTCTGCCAGAAGCAGCGCGACCCGTGGTTGACATTTTGGACCTAAAGCACCTCCTCAAGTCAGAGACAAGCATAGTTTCTTGCGTGACAGACTACCTTGGCCGCCTTCACGAGTGGGAGGCGAATACGTTTCTGTCGTTGGCCTTGGTTTTGGTATGCGTTGTGGGTAGCACGCTACTGGACATGCTTGCGCTGGTAATGGCTGCGCTGCGCCTGTCTAATGACAAAAGCTACGCATCTCTGCATTCTTTTTCTGCAGATGTGGAGCATCCGATCGCAGATCGATCTTCACAGCTCAACTGCAGGTGGATCATGATAGCCCGAGTCGCGCGAAAGTTGTCGATGCTGGATGTGGCTATGGTTGGCGTCTACTTGGTCACAGTTTGTATGTCCATGTACGCCAAATACGGAGTTGTTGTGTCCTTGGAGCATGGCATGCTCATTCTTTTGGGCGCCGAATTTCTTCATGCTCTCACATATCACTTGGTTGAGTCCGCCTATGTGTACCACGAGGAAGCACAGGCATTCAACTTATCTGGCGTAGCTCTTCGGTCGAGGACTGAGCAGGTGGGCACAGAAGTTGTCCCATCTCTCGATGGTTGCTGTAGCTCCACTTGGCCTAGGCTTTGGCGATTTGTGCCTACGAAGGCAGTGTTCTGAATGGTTTTGAGAGATTTTCGAATGTTGGGTCACGGACCTTGTGCGGGCCTACAAGCCCTTTAACCATGTCTGAACGAGGCCACGCAGGACCTGCAAGATTGCATGTCGTTCCTGGTGAAAGCCAAACCGGGCTTGAGTTTTGTGGTTGCCATCCACAAGTGCAGGCAAGATGCGAGCACCATGCTGAGGTTTCGAGGGGAGAACCGCGGTACAAAAGCAAGTGTGCTACGATGTGGTCATCTGCCAGTGAATTGCCGGGAGAATGGTGGTGGGGGGGGACCACTCCTCTTGTTGCTCTGACATGGGCATGCCAGACTAGCCTGATGCGTTAACCTGTCAGTGAAGGTTGCTTTTGCTCGTGGACGAATGTCGCGGGCTACATAATCCTAGGAAGCCTCACACAGAAAATCAAAAGAGAATCAATGACTGATGCCGCGTTGAAGCCTTCTCGGACTGTTTTTGTCTTATCTCCAACACGTCAATATACTTGAACATACTGCAACCTAATGGTATTAGCCGCAACATTTGAATCTTTCATGCGGTGCATCTGCAGGCTTGTGACGTGTGATAGCTTTCAGATGCTACACGCGTAAGTTTGAATGGCATGGCATTCGCCGGCAAAGGAGGCCAGACGAGATGCCAAGTAAGCAACTCTTCGACTCGGGGACCCTGAGGTCAATGTTGCCCAATCTGCAGTGCGGCAGCTCAGTTTGTACAGTTGCTGCCACTGTGAGAATCCGTGAGAATTGTGCCACCTTCTGGCCTCAGATTCACTCAGGCCAGAGCTTCATGGGCACCTCCCTGAAGTACCACATCAAGGCAGATTGGGCTAGAAATGCTGGAGTCTCCAGAGTCAACTTGAGGCTAAGAGAACTGATGCATGAAGCCACGACATGAAGCTCGCAGAACTGTGCTGCGCAGGTCTGTGCCAGTCGTGGCCTTGAATCTGCGGAAGCTTTTTGCACTTGCCAGCTTTGCCCACACTTCTTGCGACCTTCTTAAGATGTCGTTGACCGCGTTTTTTCATCGTCATCTTTTGCACGCACTGCCGAGGACAAGCACGTGCGCAGCTCGTTACCTGCTCTTCCTGCGGGCGCCCCGCCTTGTGCTCAGACAATGGAGGAGCCTAACATAGGGCTCTTTATGCAGACCTCTAGCGCGCGGATCTCGGGTTCTCCGAACTAACAGGCCCATGCAGGTCGAAACGCTTGTTCGTCTCAGGCGGTGGGATGCAAGGAAGTGAAACACTGTTCAGAGCGGTTCAGGTTTTCCGGGATCTCCAGTTCTGGTGTATAAGGTGCAGAAAGACGATCTCCCAGACCATCTAGTACGTTGCAAGCGGCGCTTGGCCGAGGCGGGGCAAGGCTTTGCGCAAACAGACATACTTGTACAAGTATTAGTCGACTGTTTCATTCCCCAACGCCCTTGTCCCGTCCCTTCCCCACCCCTTCCCCACCCTTTCCCCACCCCTTCCTCACCCCTTGCCCACCCCTTTCCCACCCCTCCCCCACCCCTTCCCCACACCTTCCCCAGCATAGATGATTTTCAAGTAGGCGCTTTGGTTTGAGAAATTTCGTTTCGCAAAGCCTCCTTGTGAGTTGAAATGAAACAAATGTGCTTTTCAGATTTCTAGTTGTGTAAGTACTTTTTCCATTAAGCTTATCGAAGGGGGACTGCCGCCCAGGCCCGATTCCTTTTTTGAATTCGCAAAGCCTCTCAATTTAAGCTCTTTGTAAGTTACTATATGCAATTCTGTATAGACCAGGTCCGGCAGCACCCTGTATCATTTTGGAATGGAAGGGGTCAGCCAAGGGCTTGTTTGATTGTGTTAACCTTATTCATTTTGTACCGTAAGGCCTTAAGTTATTGATTTTGCACCTTAAGTGTTTCAGTTAGTATTTCAGTTTGTTGCTTGAGTTCTTTGACTTGTTATTATAAAGTTGCGTTAAGTCACAAAGCCTCTTTGTTAGCCAAAATAACCCTTCGTGTGTTGTGTGTGTGTGTGTGTTGAAATTTAAGTTCACAAAGCCTCTGTGCGAATGAAGACACCCTGGCCCGCAGATCCGAGTTTATGGGCTAGACCCTTGGATGGGTAGTGAACAGCTCTTGAAGCTGAAGTTTAAAATCGAACCGCCAGCATTGACAGTTCTCTTTGAGTGACTTGGAGTTCTTCGTTATAGCATCCTTCAAATCTTGCGCCTTTTGGGTCAATCTTCATGGGCCGTTGGGGCCTGTGGTTTCAAGGCGCAGGGAGAATGCACTGGAAGCTGAGCCTTCATCTCCCTTTGTTGACGTTGCCATAAAGACATGCACGGGCTTCTACTGCAGCACTCTGATATTACACCGGCTTCCGGTCCATTTTTTGTGTCTGAACGAACATCCCGAATTGCACAATCACACTAGTTTAGCGAATTAGGTTGTTCAGATGTCGTGCCAAGCGAAAGCACCCTAAACGCAGATGTACTGAAACAGAAACTCCATAATGGTCACTCAGAAAGCATGTGGTAGTGCAGGAGGAGTCAAGCTGCTGTTCTGCAGGAGGGTGGACGGGGCCAGCAGGAATTTCCGAGCAGATCCGAGGAGGTTCAGAAATTGTGGCAGGATCGGCACAGCCTGGAAGTTGCTGGCCATGGGATCCTTTTTAAGGAAATACCACGCGAAGTACAAGCATTGCACTTTCAGGACAAGTCCTCGGCTTTGCAGACCGCCCTAGCAAAAATCGAGGCCCGATTGCTTTGTGAGGCCGTGTGACCTATGCCGGCCTATCCCTTTGTGACCCCATCCAAAACAGGCCGGCGAAATCGGAAGTCTGGGCCTTAACGGGCCTTTACCCTTTCCGGCCTTTCGGTTGACATCCTTGGAAGTCAGAACTGACCTTTCTGAGAAGCTTTCCCTACGAGTTTTCCACGAGTTAGTTCCACGCTCGCCAGAGGCTTAGATCCTCGCGGATTCTTTCTTTGCTCCATTTGCGGTCAGCAAGGCCGGGTCGCCCTCACTGTCCCGCTTTGTCCAGATCTCTTGCGCAGATTCAGGGAGCAGGGCTTCGGAACTGATTCGGAGGAGTTTGGCTGTCTTTTATGTTGGGATGTTTTTTATGTGCGATTTTTCCTTGCGTTTGGGCTCTCGATGCTTTCTCTGTTGAGGCTTGGGTCTGCTCCAGATCGTCGAGCACGAGGCAAGTCCCACTTTGTTCGAAGCGTTTTTGAAGCACGATATTTCAAGCACGGATCCTGTTTCGCGATGCAAAGCACAAATCCCGTTCAAAGCACTGGCGATGTCGTTTTACCACCCCTGCGAGTTCCGACTCACTGCGCATTGGGCCCCCGTGTACCACTCAAGAACTGTCGACTTCAAAGGTTAGGGTTTCAGGGCAGAGGGTGGTTTTTTTAGGGCTCAAGGGTTTTAACGCTTTTGAGGGCTGAGGGTTTCACGGTCCGGAGTTGTCTTAGGGTTTAGGGTTCTTAGGGCTTCAAGGGTGTTTAGGCTTTAGGAGTTTTGCACACCACTCAGGGGCTTCAGAGCTGGCAGCACTCATGGTTCGACACCCGTTTTCAGGGTTTCGGGTTTAGGCTTGTCGCACACCCATCAGGGCTTCAGAAACCCGCTGGTGCGCCCAACCACCTGTTCGAGAATCCGCCTTGCTGGTGCGAGAATCCTTCGTGTGCGAGTCTGCCTGGGTCATGCGTGAATCAGCTGGTGCGCGAACGAATCCGTTGCCCCGAATTGGACTTGGGGAATTCCGCATTTTTTTGGCCTGACGCCTTCGAATCCAAGTCCAATGCAAAACCGATCCAGGGCTTCGGGTTTGTGCTATCACTTGAGGGTCTGACGCTAGTTATTCTTTAGGGAATTTAGGGAATTGAGATAGGTATAGCATGAGGGGAGTAGCGGTTGGCCTGGACAGGGTGTGGGATGGAAGGAGGCTTAAGAACCTTACCACTAAGTTGAGAAGTCGCGCATGTATCTATTGCTGGCGCAAGCTCCTCACTTACAAAGTATCGACTCTGGGCACTGAGATGTGCGGAAACTCGAGACTACGGTTTCAGCAAATCATCTTGTGAGTAAGAACCTGCTTAATTTCTGCTTTCCCTCCCCTTTGGTCAAGCTGGTTTTGTGTGCTTTGTGTACCACGTTGCCGAGTTGAGTGTCAACCTCTGACGCTTCCAGGCAGACTGCCGACGGCGTCTGAGCCAGGAAGGCCACGTGACGGCGGCAGCAGACGTTCCCGCCGCACTCCCTGCCACAACATCCAAGCACGCCGAGTCCTCATCGGGTATATCGGGTCTGGTCAGCCTGGCATGGGAAATCTGACAGGGCCCCGTCCAGCTGAGGACACGTCAACACGCGCGGCTGTGCGCCTCTTACCCAAGACTTAGTGCTTTCAGCTTGCTGACATGTCTGGCCTTTGGATGAACAATCTATTCCTGGACCGCAGGTCGTCAAGGAGCTGAACCTGCTAAAGACAGAGATCGCGCAGGCTCAACTTCCTGTCAGGAAGAATGGTCTTCGCAAGTCCTTCGCAGCCCAATAACACAAAGATCCTCAAGCATCAGCTTCCTTTTTATGGCAGAATGGACATCTCTCCCTTGAACTTTGAACACTTTGTTCATCGCTGAGATCATCCGTGTACCTTGCCACTTCCACGGAATGACGTTTCTGACAGGAAGCTTCAGGAGACGAGGAGACTCGTCACGCCCTCAGCAGGCAGTCGGCAGTCGGCAGCCGACCTTCCTGAATCGTCGCCGCTGAGGTGCATTGCTCGCGCTAACTTTGGACAGGCTTCGTGATGTGGCTCGAAATGCGTGCTTCCTGGAGGATTCCTGCGACAGGCTAGGCATGGCTGCGGTGGATGTGCTTAGCGTGGTTGTCTGTGAGGAGAAGAAGTATCGTCGGCTGCGGCTCTCAAATCCAGCTGTGTCAGAGGTGGACAAGACCAGTACAACTTTCTGACAATCCTGCAATGTGAGTATGAACGGTGAACTGATGCAACAGTGGCTTCACGCAAGCGACGCAGGCCATCGGAAGGTGGGACGCGGCCAAAAGGATCCTACAGGCTCTTCGCATGCAACACATACAAAATATACAGTTGAGACATGTCGAGAGAAACGGACGCCGCGGCTCAGGCCTTGGGCTTCGAGCTGGTCTCCCACACAACCAAGTCAGGTGGCTCGACGGAAGGGTTTTAAGGAAGAGGAAGGACTCTGAGTTCATGTTGAAACATCTGTTTAGAGGTCTTTTGAGTCACATGAGGCAATTATGCTCCTGTGCCTGGCCTGGCTTAAGATGGGAAATGGCTTCGTGTGTGCCCCGCCCGCGCGCGCGCGCGCGCACTGACCACATTCAGAGAAAACTTCGAGGGGAGCAGGGCGACCCGAATGAAGCTCGTGGAACTTGACCAGTATATAGGAAACGACCCACGTAAATTACCTACGGAATTACCTGCAAAAGATTGTTGTTGTCTAGACATGTTTCAGATTCTGTCTCTTCAGGTTCTGGCAGTGAAAACCAACTCAGTTCAGCACTGCTTGCCTTGAGAATGGATGGAGCTTGTCACTGTCTGCGTCTGCGCGTGTGTGCGTGCGCGCACGTTGGTTGTCAAAGGCAGTGCGTCCAAGCAAGCGCACGGAACAATAAATCCCTGCTCGTGTAGGTGCTTGTCCTAATCAATCCAAGCCAGAAGATCTTCAATGCTGCTAGGGCAATGAGCTTGTGAGTTGAAGTCGGGGAACAGCCGCTTTCTCCAAGGAAGTTCCCGAGGGTTTTGACAAAGGCAAAGGTTTGACTCTGTTTGCGAGATGAGCGGGGTAGCAGCTACCCTAGCACTGGAGAATCTCTGTTTTTGGTTAGCCAGCTTCTGGCGCCCTTTCATCCCACCGCTGGCTTGTTTGTTGCAGCCAAAACCTTGTGCACACCCAGCCGGATTTGATGCACAATGCTCCTACCCTGTGCTTTGGTTCACAGCCCTGCCCTAAACTGTCGGCCTGTGCTGGTTTTGGGGTGTTTCTTCTGATGTGGCTCTTTACCCAAAACACTCTGCAGCTGTGCGGCTGTGATTTCCAGGCTTGGATGAAATCACTTCACATTTTATAGGAAGGTGTGCCGGCAGCCTCATCCTTAGGAAGGACTTGGGGCGGTAACATCCGGCGACAGGTCTGGAAACGATCTAGCACGGGCCGCACCGGTCAAAAAGGCTTCTCTCACGGTGTGATATGGTTGTTTTGGGGGGACACCGTGCCCCCCGACGATGGGGCTTCGGACTCTACTCAGATCAAGAACTCGATCATGTGCAGTGCCGTAGTGAGAAGGGATACGGGCCGATACGGCCAAAGACGGTAGCCGTACAAATTTACTCTTAAAAGGCTGAGGAACAGTTCCAATGCCCCCGGTTTTTTTGGCTCCAATGTTTCTGGGCCAAGATGGGCCAAGGTGCAAGTCCCGAGCCCCACCTGATGCTTCCTGGCCAGTTGTCTGCTTCGACCTTGCAGGCCCCTTCGGATCCCTTTGGCACTCCTAGCCGCTTGCTAGCGCCTAGCAGCGTAAGCTCTTAAAAGCAATGCCCTTGAGGACTTCCTCGACGCTCTAGATGGCAAAGCTGATCAGCCTGCTGCGACCTCCGTCGAATCAATAGGGTCCATGCTGGAGGAATGTTCATATTGTCACCGAAAGTTTCGGTTCGACCGAATTGCAAAGCATGAAACCCGCTGCCCCGAATCCAAGCCGAAGCCTGCCAAATTGGACGTGGTGCGCAAGCTGCTCGCAGGAACGCCTGGGGAGCAGCATATCCCCTCTGCTCGCCAAGATGTTTTGAGTGGAAAGAAACTACCGCCTCTGCCTGTCAAGCCAAAGAGCGACACCTTATTTCTGACAGATGATCTTGAAGAGTGCAGCCGCTGTGGGCGACGTTTCTCGCAGGAGGCACTGGCTAAGCATACCGCGCACTGCAATGCAACCCCTAGGCGCGCCTCAACACCTCGCGAGGGCACGCGGGTGCAAAGTCGCCAAGGGAGAGGTGGGCAACTGACAGGGAGGAGCAGTCGGTCTAGGGAGTCTAAAGAGGCTAGACCATCGTCAGCATCACTCCCAGAGCAGAAAGCGCATGCATCTGGAAAAGTTCGCACTAATAGCGACAGCCATCGTGGAGTTGCTGATCATTCCTCGGGTGGTGCTTCTGGCCAGCCTTCATACGAGCAGCTGGAGGTTGATGTCTCAAGCTGGCTGGATGACATCTGAGACATTCTGAGACACTCTGAGACCTGAGAGTCGAAGCGCTTCGACTGCTCGCGGCGTCACGGCGTGTGAAATCTGACCAACACACGAGTCCTGCAGAGCGAGAAGGCGCTTTTCCCGCGGCACTTCCTGAGCACCTCTTGAAAAGTGTAAGAGCACTCGACGGGCAATCGTGGAACACGGCGAAGGGCACCTTTCTCGCGACGGCAGCTGCGGCTTGTGCAAGAAGGCCGTTCTGTCTCTGTTCGTAAATATCTGATCACAGTGAGGACATTGCGAATTCTGACGAGCCTCGATCACGCTACCCCTTTCTTCTGGAAGACCCAATGGTCTGCGGATTTTCAGCGGTCGTGGAGCTCATGTGATCTCTGGGGGCCGGGTAGGATAGCTTCCTGCAGCTTCAGGTGCTTGAAAATGCGAGTACCTTATGCTGTCGACCGTTGTAGGCTGAGGCTTTTCAAGCATGACGGAAAAGTCCGATCTTTGTAGCTTTGTAGCAGGTCCTTTGAGCGATCTGCATCCAGTTTGATCCTGCGCAGTTCGAGCCGTGTCAGGCCAGCTGTATGCAGCACAAGAATCGAACGCATCACGTGCATGAACAGCACATGCACCACCTCAGGGAACCTTCATGGACACAGCTCTCGTTAGGAACTACAGTCTGAAAGTGTCGAACCGTCATGATTTTTCTAAGAGTCAGCAGCTAACGCAAGTTCACTCAAACTTGAACTCGGAGCTCACTTCTGCGATCCTTCAACCGATGCATGATTTAACTCCTGGGGTGAAGCTGTATGGGTACTGGGAGCCGGAGGAGGTGCTACAAATTGCTACAAATTGCTAGAAAGCCGACGGCAAGACTCAGCAAGTCTGGTGCAGGAATGGTATGCTTGCAAGTTTGTCAAGCATCTTGGAGAACGGCTGAAGGCACGGGCTCATGAAGCATGTCCACTAGTCACTAGAGCTATACTGAGATGAACAGGCCACGGCAGACGAAAAACCCATCAAGTTCGACGTTTTGATGCTCTTCACCTTTGCTGATGTTCGGTCTGTGCATGTTGGGACATGTTGGGTCATCATAAGGACTCAAAAGGTACCGGAGCTTTTGGGCAGGCTAGGGTGGTTGCTCAAGCCCTCAAGCCTTGACTACAGATCCGGTGGTATCGAGTGAATAAGGGTTGTACTTGGACAAATACAGTAGCAAGCAGTGTGGGCCACGAAAGCCTTGCGACAGAGCCACCAAAGACTTTGCGCTTTTCCCGAAAGTCCTGACGATGGAGCCGATTTCCGGCTCCATCTTCCTTCGAAACGAACAGTTAGTTTGGACCCATGACAACTCAACGCTGCATGTGGTTAATCAGTTGGGTCCGTACTTCCAGGTGAAGTGGGACGATGGCACAGTCTCCGTCCTGAGCTCGGTCAATGAGCTGGAGAACAGCAGGGCACACTCCCATTTCGTGTGCCAGGTATTAGCCGGATCGGAGGCCTACGCTCGCGACGTTTCGAGAGTCTAGACATGACCTTAAACATGGAGTGTGCTTGCAGCTCAACACACTTGTGCCTGCCCTCGCCTGCTTTCTTGGCGGTTGGGCCTCCATCATACTCCGTCACTGGATATCTCACGTCCTTTGGTCACCTGTGCTGAGAAGCACATCGACCATCATCGACCTAGTTTCCTAGTCGATGTCTCCTTCATTTCTTGTTCCTGATACTTTCCGGGTCCTTTTCCTGTGCAGCTCTGATGTCCCTATTCAGGGAGAAGACCAGTCTCAGCTGCATCTGCCAGAATTTTTCCACGGGACCATATCAACCGGACCCACATCAAAAAAAAGAAGAGGGAACCTTCGGTTGCAAAGTTGCTGCAGTGTGCACAGCAGCCCAGCTTGTGTACTAGAAGCTCGTTCGGACCGTGGCGGACATATCTTCTGACGAATCCATGGCTTGATCAACGTCTGTTTGGCCTCCATGCTGGTGAAACCAGTCTTCCTCAGCTTTTTTTAGAAAAGGACAGAACAAGAGGTGTTTCCGTGTTTGTTGGGGGGAGCTTTCTTACGCAAAAATTCCGAATTCCAACCTGCAAACAACTTTTGTTTCAAAACGACAAAGCCTGTCGCTCTGTGCAAGATGGTGGCTCTTAATTTTGTTCAGAAGAAGAAGAAGCAGAACTCTCTTTCGTTGTTTTTTTATGGAATCTTTTCTGATGACATAGGACAAGCTCTCTCGGTATGGTCGAGGTGAATGGGTTGACTGCAGTTTGTTTAAGAAACATCAGGTTTGAGCTGACCATTTTGACAGTCATCATTGTGGGGTCCCTCCTTTTCCTTGCTGAGGTGGGAGTTCTAAGTGAAACAGTCAGAACCTCCTCATCCTTACTTGGACAAAGTGTACTGGGTTTTCACCTGTCTCAATCTGGCCAGCATGCTTTCGCAGTCGGGTGCGCGGTTGCGTTCGGATGCAGGTTCGCAAAGCCAAGCGCAAGTCCGACAAAGATGATGTCGTTGAGAAGAAGATCAAGCTTTCAGGCCTTGTCATCGCATGGTACATCGGCACTTCTGCCAAGGATCTGACGAATTGGTGACACTCTGCAGGCCGCAGTGCCATCTCCCGATTGGTGCCCAAGCCGCGTACCGCAAGCTGAACGAGCTCTCCCTGTTTCCGATGTTTCCGCGAGATTTTCCCACGATGTTAGCTTTGTTTCCTTTTCTTGTCTTGGCTTTTGCAGCGGCTTGATGCGGCTAAGGCTTCGAGCTGCCAGCTCATCGCTATGTCCTCGCACCCATGGTCGGCGGTTCTGAGTTGCCTTTCAGGACGGAAAGCAAACTGCGTAGCTGCATCAAACTTCATCAAACTCTAAGCTGTAGAACGTAGACGTAGAGCCGTTGAGAGTACGCAGTGTGTAGGGCCTTGGCATCCTTTGCTTCTGTTGCTTCTGTTGTATTTGCTTCTTTTGTTCGGGAGTGGCCAGGATGATGACGCGGAAATTCGGGGCACAGCTCTGCTACACACCTATGCCGGTTCGGCATGGTTCGGCTTCTCAATGCAATCTAGACCTTGTGAAGCAAACGCTCCGTGATCAGTGTGATCGTGGCCAGGATCTACTCTGGCCCGTTTTCAACGGATGCAGACTATCGAGCTGCACCAGAAAATGGCTTCCAGACCTGCCCAGAGGCCAGACACGAGCTACCAAACTCAAGCTGGTACTTGTCAGCTGCAGATTTCCGGAGATCCTTGAGGACAGACCTCTGGTCGCTCATTTCTGCGGCAACGACCCAGAGGCCAGGCCTTTGTGCAACAGGGCAACATGGGAGTTGTTCTAAGCCCCCCGGTCCTCCTTGTCCTCTTCGCAATTCCTAGAGCCGGGCCGAACTTAAAGAGGGCATCGGTCCTCGCCACGAGTCAACAAAAAGCACCTTCGGCGCCTTAGAAGCAGTAGAAGCGTTCTCGTAGCAGAATGTTCGGAGACATTCGGAGACCCAGATCATGTTTTTGTGGTTCCCCAGCAGCCCTTGGCTGTCTGGAGTATATTTTTTCCAAGAGCGTGGAGGGCCAAGGCCTCTCGACTGACACTCTCGACATCAAAACGGAGGACTCGGCATGACTCCACGAGCTAGCAGAGCTAGCAGGTGTTGCTCGCCGCGGCGCGCCACATTGTGGATCGTCTCGGGCCCAGCCTTCACGACAATGAGTCTATCAGGGAGCTAAAGGTCAGCCGGTCAGCCTCGTTTCAGTGACTAAAGTGACTAGCTAGTTTCTGTTTGGTGCTGTAATGCGCATCCGGGAGGTGTCGATGCGATCGATCTCAACCTGGGCTGCCCGCAGCGCGTCGCCCATCACTTAAAGCGCACGTGATTACTTGGATGCGAGGCAACCTACAATCAGTCCATCTGGCTTCCGTTCGCATTTCAGGCTCACGCGGAGCATTTTGGAGTCCTCCTGGCGTGCTTGATCGTCTGCGCTAACCATTGCATGCGCTGGTGCTGGACGTTGCTTAGCATATTTAGCATAGCTTGAGCTTCCACTTGACTTGGCTCAGGCGTACCTGCTGGACAAGAAGGACCGAGGTCTGGTCTGCAGCATCGTGAAGCGCCTTTCAGAGGCCGACGATTCAAAGACAGATGCGAAGTCATAGCTGCTCATGACTCATAACAGAAGAATAGCGTCGGAACACCAGAAAACGACTAATGTTCTCCGTTCCAAAACCATTCTGAAGCCTTTCAAGTCAACGAAAGAGAGCGGGGCGATTTCTTAGGCTTCGGGTGGCTGAGTTTCCGTATGTTTTTCTCTCGTTGTTGCGGCCTCTTGCTGCATGTCCACCACTTGGGGTTGCTCTAAATGGAGTTCGTTTTGCGGACCTTTCCTTCAGGATGCAAGCGAGCGATAACTGAGCTGGATACTGAACATCCCTTTGACCTCAAAGGGAAGCCGTTCAGCTGAGAACTTACCCCCAACTGTCCACATGCGCAGGCACTCCCGGTGCCTGTCTTTTGCAAGATTCGCTTGCTGGATGAGCTGGAGGAGCTCCACGGCTCCACGGAAGTCGGTTGTACTGTTCTGCAAGAAAGGGTGCAGGGCTGAGACAGAGAAGAAAGAAAGCCAGGCAGGAGCAAGGATCAGAATATCGGAAGCATATTTGGTCTGGGTCGCGTGGAGGATAGGCTCGATTGGGAGGCCCAAAGCTCGCCCAACCGTGCACCTATCCTCATCGACCAAGCCAAAACCAAAGCTAAAGCGAAAGCTGTAAAACCTAACTCAGGGCGATGAGTCGGGGCGCAAGCCGTGCCAGCCAAGCCGTGCTTCGACTCCAAATTGCACCAACGCGCGATGCCATTCACCACGCTTAGCTATCCGCTGCGCACGAGCACTGACGGCGCATGATTTACATGACATTTTCGCATTCGTGACTTGTTACGACAGTGTATGCTAGCCGATGCTCTTGATGCTGGCAATTTTGCAACATGCGGACATGTGCCTTTGTTGACGTGTGCTAGCGCTCAGCTAGCTTATTAGGGACGAACGGAAAGCTAGCTCGAAGAGCAAGCTAATGTGGCATGGCCTTGAGGAATTTCTTCCGATATGTCTGGCTAGTCCCCGTCAACACGGGGGGGGGCAAAACTTTCGAGGTTAAGCTACGCCTTCCGCCTGGGAGGCCCATCGACCTCGTCGACCACCTCATGGCTAGGCGTGACGAACCCTGTGGCCGCACAGTTCCAGAGGCGCTACTGAAAGCTATCGCTTGGATGGAGAAGGTGGCGGAGTTCCCTTCTGAGGAACGAGCTACCTTTGGGCGTCTAGCCTGGGCGGCCAAGGACAAGCTAGCAGAACAACTCGCTGAAGGAGCTCCCCTGACCAAGCGAGCCCCCAGATATCCGAGCTACTTGCTAGCCCAGATGGAGGCCGTCGTCCTGGATAATGGGCAAACCGTTGGATGGCGCATCTGGACGTGGGCTAAGCTCCTCAAGATATGGGGCTCGCTGAGATGGTCGGATCTTCAGGCCATCATCCCAGCCGAGCTTAGGTGGAAGGCCGCTTGGTTACGATCTTACGTAAGACTAAGACCTCAGGCCCCACTAGGAGGGTAAAGGAGCTACCCGTCGTCATCTCGGAGCGGGCGTTCCTCGTGGACTACCGCTGGCTAGAGACGGGCTTCGCTCTCCTTAAGCAGTTCGCCGGCTACAAGCGGGACTACCTCCTCCCGCGCTTGGGCGCCAACGGCGTGCTGGAGGACAAGCTAGCGACCTACGCAGACGCCATGGTGGCTACAGCTGGCATCCTGGCCAACTGCCTCAAGCTACCTAGCCAGGTGCTTGGGTTCTGGACGGAGCACAGTGAACGCTCCGTGCTGCCGACGGGCCTCTCGTTGCTCAATGTCCAGCCGGCTGACAAGGACCTGCTAGGGCGTTGGAAGTTGGAAACCTGAAGGCTCCGACATCTACGCCAGATCCTTCGCGGGTCGCGTGGCTAGATTGCAGGCCCAGTTCGCCCAGGTAGCTAGGGCACCGGACCGCTACGGCGAGCGGGCTACGACTGTGGTTGGTGGAAAAGGCTAGGATGATGATGGACGCCTGGGAGCACGGTATCTAGAGTTGATAGCCCCACCGCCGGCTGCTTTGCGAGGCTAGGGGTACACCTGTGCTTCGGGGCCCCCGCTAAACCTAACATGGGGCGACATCCCCACTGCGCTCTGGCCCGCGGGATCCTGGAGCGGGCCGCCAACACAGCAGCTAAGGAGGTCCCAGAAGGGGCTCGACTCCGAGCACATTGACCTCCCACCACCTAGACCTCCTCCTGGTCTCGACCCTCAGCCCGGCGCCGGTGGGCTGCGCTAGGGTCCAGACGCGACTGGAGGCGGTGGCCTTGGAGCCGGCCTTCGTGACGGTTGCTACTGGTCGGACCTGCTACGGGTGGGGACGTTGGGATGTCCCCAACCGGATATTCCGCTGTGAGTGCTTGCATGTCCCCAACCGGATATTCCGCCCCAAGTGCTAGCATGCAATAGACGCATGTGGTACTGCGTCGACCAGCATGAGTCGCACTACTGCGACGATTGCAAGCGGTACCAACGCTAGCTGCCACAGCCATCGTGCTAACCCGACTGGCCGCCCGACAGGGGCAGCTAGAGCTAGCCTTTCTAGGCGAGATTAGCAGCCCTTTTGCTAGCTGAACCAGCCGCCGGCATAGGGTGGTTGGGCTAGCCAGTAAAAGCTAGATCTCTGGAGCCACGACACGGCCCCCTGCCGCTAAAAGTCGGACGCGAGCAAGGGTCGAGAGAGGGAGCGGAGAGAGAGTGTGGGGAGAGTGGGCCAGCAAGGGCGGACCCGGCTGATACTCCCCCCACCCAGGGCCGACTAGACCCCACGACCCCACCTAATCGCTAGGATGCCCGAAGTAGACAGAGGCTGGCGGGAAAAAGGGGGGGGGGGGAAACTCTTGGCTATGAAGATTTTTGTGGCCCAGCTTCCCTGTCCTCCTTCTTTCGCTAGTCAGCATGGCTGCGCCTGCGCCGGCCCCCACAGAAGAGGAGAAGCTGGCTAAGGGATCCTCAGACCTCAGGTTCCTCCTCACAAGCCACGGAGTTGCTAGTGCTACCCAGGCAGAACTGTACCGCAACGGCATCAATAGCCTGGCTAAGTTTGCAGCTTTCGTTTCGGGGGAGGCCGACCTGAAGACCGTCCTGAAGGATACTAAGGATAGTTTTGGACTAGACCCGGCTGTTAGCCTGGCCAACCGGGCGCAAGCAGCTAGCATGGTAGTGGCCTGGAACACCGCAGCTACCAGGGTGAAGAACCAAGCAGAGGTGGAGGCCATGAGACTCTCCAGCTAGCGAAGCCGATAGCCCAATCGGACTATATCGCTATGAGGAATGCGTACTCCTCCCAGTTCGGAGAGCTAGAAGACAAACATATTCCTGCTAAGGAATACATCGAGAAGAAGCTGTACGAACTGGAAACGGGGGAGTTCCGCGCCGAGCCCCTGACAGAGGTCGTCAGTCGGGATGGGGTGGAACCCGACGTGCTAGTCACCACTTGGAATGCCAAGGGCCAGCTATCCGTGAAGAAGGGAGGGTCCACCACCTCTATGCCCACGGGGCCCGAGCAGCTACGGCTACGGCTTACGGTGCTTCAGAATGCGCTTATCATGATTAAGCTAAAACACCCCGGCCGGCCCAAGCTAAAAGACGTCCAGATGACGCTCTTCGAGAAGTACAAGGAGTACTGCTATGGTCTCCGGGCCGGGGGTGATGCCGGTGGCATGATCCCGCCGTGGACGCTGGTGCTGAGCTACGAGCATGCTATCCGAAAGCATGCTTACAAGCTCATGGCTAACCACGGCCTGCCTTTTGGCAAGGCCCTCGTCAAGAGCTACAAGGAGCCCTCTGTGAAGGAGCGCCGCTTCACGACTCCGCTAGCCCTCTATGGCAAGAGGCCGAACGTGCCAGGGAGCCCAGCTATCGCTACAGAGGACCCCAACAAGCCGAAGAACCCCCCTAAAGGAGGTGGTCGAGAGGGGAAAGGGCGATAAAGGGGACAAAGGCGCCGGGCTACCTAGCCGCGCCCCCGAGGGCAAGCCAATCTGCTTCAAGTGCCAGGCTAAGGGCGGTTGCAAGAAGGGCCAGAAGTGCAAGTTTGCCCATGTGTGCAGACGAAGCTACGCTAAGCATCCCCTTTTCCAGTGCAAGCAGCCGCCAAAGGACACGCGGGGTGAGCCGCCCCAGGCCAACAAGGCCGCCTGAACCATGCCGGAGGTGCCGGACCGGGGGCCGGCTATGTCCCCCGGAAATGCAGCGGAACCGGGACCTGCTCCGCCTGCTAGACACATCAGGGTCCTCTACCTCTTGCAGGGCTACCGCGGGACGGAGACATGACCCACATCAAGCGAGAAGCGAAGCGTAAGGGCTACACGGCTACAGTCACCTGCGTAGACGTCGGGCGCTCTCCGCAGATGGACTTGGCGAGGCCTGGGCTACGCGAGCAGTTCCTGCAGCGGCTACGGGCCGAGGAGTTTGACGCGGTCCTGCTGTCGCCTCCTTGCTCCACATTCTCCAGAGCGGTGTGGGCTAACTTCAAGGGGCCACGCCCAGTGAGAAGCTATACCCACCCGCGAGGGTACCAGAAGCTCTGGGGCAAGCAGAAAGAGAAGGCTGTGCTCGGCACCATCTTCGCGGACTTCGCTTGGGATGTCGGCCAGCCTCGATGTGGCAGTGGCCGCGCCTCAAAAAGCTACTTGGGCAGGGATTGCGGACCGCGGCTTTCCACCAGACAAGTTTTGGGGTTTCTTATGCTAAGCCTACCCGCCTCCTCCTTAGGGAGTTCAAGCAGAGGTATGGGGAGCATAGGGCTATCGCAGCCTTGGCGGTCATCGTGGAGGACGAAGCTAGCGGGAAGAAGCGGGTGATCCACGATGCTACCCATGGGGTCAGGGTGAACCACAGGATCAGGTGCCGTGACAAGCTACGGGCGCCTGGGGCCCGGGAAAAGAAGTGCTTGCTGCTAGAGCTCCAGGAGGAGGACCTCAAGGCCTTCTCTGTGGTGGGCGATATCGCTAAAGCACATCGGCGGTATCTCCGCCGGGAAGATGAGCGCGGCTACCTGGGGTGCCACGGGCCAGCTACTGGTGGACTAACTCAGAGCCACCCACCACCTGCTCGGGGCGTCCTACCCTGTCGACATGCTCCTGTATGCGGACGACCTGGAGACGCTAGGCGCCGGAGCACGAGGCCGGCAGGGGATCCCGTTGAGCTACACCTACCTGGCGGCCATGGGCTACCCCTTCAAGTGGCCAAAGACGTGGGGCTTCAAGGTGGAGTGGCTAGGGATGGAGACTGACTATGTGGGCTACCGGCTGGGGCTCTCACCGAAGAGAGCAAGCTGGCTAGTGGACTGGCTAAGGAACCTCGCGAAGGAGGGTAGGGCTGAGGCGAAGCCCATGTCCCAAGGCCTAGGGCGGCTAGGCTTCGCAGCTATCGCACTGGACTGGGAGCGTCCCTTCCTGGGACCCTTGCATGCCTGGTCGGCGGC